AAAAAACTGTTGCCCCTGGAAATCCATGGATCTTTTGCAATATGTCCAGTTCCTCCCACTGAATATAGGGCCACTCATCTCACATAAGTGAGATGTCCATCAGGGGAGTCCATGCCTCATGGATTTCCCCGGCTTTCAAGGCATCTCATTTTTTTCAAAAGCTTTTTGGACAAAGATCAAAAACTTATAAAAACATCATTCCTTGATTGAATTTTCCTATCATGAAATAGGCTTCAAAGATAAAATGCTTCTGTAGATTTCCATCAACAATGAGTCAAGGAAATAAATGCAACATTGCCATTTATTTTGTTCAACCTATCACTATACATCTTTTTGCCTTTTTATTGCTTAAAAAATCGTGGATATCTGGAGGAATGCATACCAGACACAGAGAAAGAAGGTGGAGGCTTGCCCTCAAGGCCCGGGCACACCATTACAGAACAAGGACAGTCTCAGACGCAAAGTGTATACAGTGCGCATTGGATACCTATACAAGCTCTTTCGATGGGTTAAATGCCGTAGTAACCTGTTGCTTCGAAGGCCCGTCAAAGCGCTAAATTTTAAAACCCATATATGGGTCCATGCTCGCGAACAGGTTAAACGCAACATAGGGACACTTTTGCACCTGTTTGTGGAGTTCAGCGCGTGCCCCATAGCTCACTGGGTTGCATACCTGGAAGGATGAAATCTATTAATAGTATGTTTCCTTGCAGATAGGAAACCTGGTGGGCCATAAAGCGTTAGCCGACCTCTACCTAGAGGCGGAAAAATATTCCATATGTTGCGATTAAACACGGACTCCCTGTATATAATGTGTATATTGGGCTGAAAAGGTTCGAGGTATGAGGCCTGGGGAGCAAAAAACATAATGTAGGCATGGATGGGAAACCACCACTTCCATACCTCAAACCGTTAATGTTATATTTCATGCTCTCCAAGTATCCTCACTTTGAGTGCAAGATGTATAAAGACATTAAAAGGAAAGCCTAAGGTCAATCTCATGATAAGGAGCTTGGTTTAAATGAGAATGTGAAAAAAGTATCCTTCATACCTGAAGAGTCTTACCGAGACCCATGGAATGACCCAGGATACAACCACTGCCAAGAACACCCTCCTGGTTCTTTCGCCTCACCGACTCAATGCAGGCATCAAACATGAATCGAATCCCTTCACGCTGGTGTGGCTTCATCTTCTGTGCAAGCATCGGATGCACCTGCACTCGCTCCTTCGTCTCCTGGTCGAAGTCAAGGATCAGATCGTCGTTCGCTGGTGATAGGTTCATCGCTTCCTTCTGCTCCTTCGGCATCACCTCATCGAACTGCACATGAAACACGAAGGTTGACATCAAAAGCCCACCTTAGGAAACGGAATGAAATTGCCGGTTAGGTTTGGAAAAATGTTAAGACTGTTCTGTGGATACAGATCTGGAAAAGCTTTTCTTCTTTTCTGCATTTCAGAAGTTTCTACTCACGTGTTTCCACTTTTCTGAGATTCTCGTACGATGGTGCCTCTCCTCCAAGATCGCTTCCTGGGTTGACGTCTTTAAATGGGATTCCTCGAGGATCTTGGAAATATTTCTTCTATGTCTGTTTTCCTGATAGTCATTGTTCTGACAGGATGTGACTTCCACATTCTCGTCCTCTTCGTCCGAATCTACAATCTACGTGGATTAATATTCATTGCAGACATGGAATGTGTAACTTAGAGGCAACACATCAGACAACTTATAATAGAAGGAAGGCGCACTCCCTTCTCTAATTTCGTGACGACTTCGTATGCATTATTTCTCTTATGGATGAGCCAGAAATAAAACTGACTTGAGAGGGGGTGGCAAAGTAGTCGTTGGAGGGATGACATTCATCTTCCTTCTTCCTTTTTGATCTTAGTTTAGATGCCTCATCATTCTCGAAATCTGTACCACCCATGCCCTGGATCTGGTGCTGCCTTTTCCTACGTCCAAAAAAATGCAGTAATCTCAGATTGACACTGTAAAATTATACATTATCCTAACCAACAGTTAGAGGGAATGTTAGGTCGTATCAAATGCAGTGGGACACAGAATGACATGGCTGATAGGCGCTTGGCATAACGGACCATGGCAGTGAACCCATGCTAGAACAGTGCAACATTCATTAATTCCTATTTGGCCGTGGCATAATAGATCATCTACTTCCATATTACGATGTTATGCAGCTGAGCCGCAAGGACAGAGAATTCATTGACGCTCCTATGATAAACAGGAAGCACCACGGTTAGGTTGCGACGATAAAGCAAAACACAAATGCAAAGTTTCACTTCTTTATTGTCTTCTCTGTGCATGCAAGAACTCATATCTTGTCGAAGTTTCACAGCAATGTTATACATGATTTCGTAGTTTTCAGATTTCGAGAAAAAGCGTTGCGATACGGAAGTACTGGAGCTCAGTCAGCAGTTTCGAAAACAGGTACTGCGTCAAAAACTATAGGATTCTGAGGTTTCTGCATGTCAAGTGTGACTGATACAGGCTCTTTGGGAAGCTCAGGAGAGGCTTCAGTATTACTTTTTGGTCCAACATGCAGGCATCATTGGGATATTGGGACTGAATATATCAGTAACTACACTGGTGGACAAAATTAAGGTCGTCCTAGAGTCTAGATTGGGAGGGAGTACACATGTTTTTGAAAAAAAGGGAAATTACTGAAAAATTCATCTTCTTAGTAGATGTTGCCAATCATTGGCTGTCCCCACCTCCATGGTGCATTATTTTTTTTTTAAGCCACAAAACTTCAAAAAGAGACAAACACTTTAAATGAAAGAAGTTTGTAAACATATAGCGGAGGTTTAATGTGATCTGGACAATTACATTCTGTTTTTCGGAGGACTTGTCTTTGACATACCCAGCACTCAGTCTTAAGAGCGAGCGATATACTGTATATTGGGCTTAATGAACTTTCTCAAATATGGCAAGATGAGCAATTTCAGAATAAAGGTAAGTAGGCAACGTAGGTGATACCTATCTCAAATTGCGGTTCTCGATCTCCGGATCTGTTCCATGGTATTAGTCCCAAAGAGAAAAAATTCCTCCAAATTTAATGAAAGTCAAAGTCCCGGAATTTCTTGAAAGACCATCCAACCCTCAATTACTGTAAAATCCCTCGCACATTCCTGAAGAAAAACGCCTCCAGCCAACCCCACGGACAAGATTTTCTCTTTCATCACCTGTTGCTTAATGTTGTACACACAGAAAATTCAGTGCCTCAGTTCTATGCATTTTTCTCGCGAAAAAATCTGTTCTCTATGTGATGCGTCTTTATCGCATCGAATTTTGGATGCGGTTATTGCATCAAATGTTGGATGCGATAAAAACGCATCACATGGAGGACAACTTTTTTTCTCGACGAAAATGCATTTGATTCTGCGTGTATAGGTCAGGTATATTATGCGCTCCTGCCGCATTGAACATTTCGTGATGAACTTCAGCCACATCGAAATTTTCACATTGGCCACATTGGCCTTGCATGTCCTATTGTGGGAATATAGTGGCTTTTGAGCTTAAAGCCCGTATACACGAACCTCATTCAGGGGAGACAACGGGGCTTTTAGCGAAGGAGCTCTTTTTCTCCCATAGATTAGCCTCCGTATTCCACGGGTCGGAGGGAAGGTGAAGTGGCGATGAGGCCATGCACTCAGGCGATTGCGTGTGAATCCCTTGACTGTCAATGCATTGCCCCGAGGGTTCATGGGGGGGGGGGGAGCTTCCTCGGCACGAAGTGGAATACGGAGGCTAACATGCGTCTAGACGATACAAGGCAACTCAAACCACTCACTCGACTCGGCTATAGACGCATTTTGGTTTTGCAAACGCCTTTCAGGCGACGCGGCACGGTCGGGAAGCGAGAGATATTAATCGAAAATCCAGCTGATGTATTTTTCTCAAGAGAAAAATAAATCGAAATGCGAAAATTGAGAGAAGTATATCGTCTCAATTCACCGATTTCTCTGAGTGTGCACGTATGGGGAAAGGTACTAATCGAATAATGACCATTACAACGCATTTCCTCTGACATATTTCGTCTCTCAAAAATCATTTTATGACTTTGCTTCTATTAGTTGGAATCCTACGATCTTTGGATCTATTTATTGCGGAAAATGAGAATTCTGTTACATTTAATGAATTCAATTTGTGAAATTCCAGACTTTTCTGGTAGGGAGCCATTTCGCTGATATGCTCAAATTCTCTCTGAGACTGGGGATAAATCAAAGCAGAACATATATTAAAGACTGACTCTTGGGAAGAAGATAACCCCAAAACAGGCAAAAGTTAATGTTGCATAGTCACCAGCTTACAGAGACCCTTCTTATATTTTGGCTGAAGTTGGATACAATTGTCTTCTCTTCTTGGAACACTATCATTGGATTACAGGTTCGACAGCGAGAAGCGGCAGGTATATTCATTCTCTTTGTTTCTCTAAGCCTGAGGCAATATCTGGTGTACAAGGACATGGGGTCTGCAGAATGTCTAAAAACTTTGCATTTTTGGATGGAATTTCTCATGTACTATCTCTTTCTTCCCCGAGGACAATTTCAAATGTAAATTGCAAATAGAGGAATAAAGGTTCATATGGTTACTTCACGACAGGTAGTTCTCACATCAGTACCAATAAGTCAAAATATTTGAATTTAAGAGAGGGGCGAACGTGTAGTTTTCTGTACTCGATAACACTCCTCTCCTTGAACAGTTTCCAAGATCTTCAATAATAATAATAATAGGCTAAATATAGGGACATATCTTCGAAAATAAAATAACAAGAAACATAACAAGAAATAAAAAAACCCATTGGATTTCAACCGGTCAAGAGCTATCCCTCGTTCCTAAAAGTACCAGGAATAGCCTAAAGCACATACTTTCCACGATTAAGGATGTCACCATCCTGATCCTGCCTTTCCTTCTCTCGGGTTTTCTCTAATTTCCGGCATTTCTCGTCTTCCTCGCTCGTGTCCGTGTCACTGAACTTCGTCTGCAGCAATTTTAAAGCTTCCTTTATGGCAGCTGATTTCTCTTTCTTAGGTTTTAATTTCTTCTGGACCATGTCCTTCACCTCCTCCCCATCGTCATTATCCTTTTCGAAGGACTCTTCTTCGATTCCCACTTCCATTTCTCTTTTAATTCCGGTTTTCTCATCATTCTTTTTCTTCTTTCGCATCTTTCGTTCATTTTGATCACTTTCTTCAGAATCAGTGCTTGAATCTGAAAGAAGCGTGGAAGGGGATGGGATGAGAAGAACTGGCCCTGGTAAAAAGAGCAGTACAGACCGTCACTGCTGCTCTAAAGAAGTTGAAAGCAAAAATTCAAATTAACGTTGAGGCATTTTTACGATATGAACAAATATTGACATGAAATCCGGCTAAAGTCTTTCCTTTGATGTTCGAAATCGATTATGATTCCAGTCTACTAAAGAAGGTGCCAAGGTTTTTCTCCGCTTCCAACTTACATTTTTATGCTAACATTATACCTGTCCCACAATCAGTGTAATAAGTCACTCCTTCGTGTGGAATCTTCAGGTGATCTGCTTCTAAATAGACTATATTAAATAATCCCTGGCAGGCTGCAACAAGAGAACTGGCGAAAGAAAATAAGAAAAGAATGGAAACCTCACCACTGGATGCATTGAATGAAACAGCGGTCTCCTGGCTGTCACAGCTCCCTAGGATATTCTCCAAAATCTTTCGATTCACCTGAACCAGTGAGAGCTGCTCCTTGTACACGTGCGGCCCCAGTGACATACACACTTCATCCTTTCTTTTGACATCACTGCTGCCATCGTCAACTTTTTCCATATTACAATTCCATCGATCTCCGTCATTATCTGCTGTTTTCTTGCTGCCCCTATGACCTCTCATCTTCTGCCTTCCCGGGAGGTCGTCCATATCTTCCTGATCTTCTTCGCACGATACTTCATTTTCAACTGTCTTCGGAAGCCTGTGTTATTGAAGGACCAACTTTTATTTATTCATCAAAATAGCGTATTCCGCATTGCTAGCCGAGTCTCGTATAATCGCTCTATATCATACTCACCTTCAAATCGATACTCATCTTAATATTGGTAGAGTAATTGCTTTGTTGCACTGCATTTAAGAAACTTAGAGGAAAAGCGAAAAAAACGTACTCAACGATATTGATCAGCATACGTAAGAGCCTCTTCAGGATACAATTTCGTATTTGCAGCAACCACTTACGGTTTCATTATTGTCAGTTGCTCTAAAACAATTCCAGTTTTCATCAGGCAATTACAATATAAATATAATGCCCCCATGTTTCTGATGAAATTTTAGCAGCTTCGTTCTCTACTTATAACCGTACTCGTGTCTTCGGAACAACCACATCAGGGTGAACCGCTGCAATTAATAGAATAATTTAACCTGCAATATTCTTTTCTAAAGAATTAGTCAAGACAGCTTCAAACACTTGTGGGATAACATACCCACTAGCGGTGGCAATTTTGAGCATAAGTTATGCTTAACTGTGAGGTTTGAATCTGCATCAATGTATGTGTAATAGTTGAACATTTTTCTTTAATCAAATGAACATTTTTGTGAAAGAATGCCGATGGTAATGTGGTATTATAGATATCAGGAGTCAGGAGTCAGCCCCCTCTGAACATATGCAGTCAACAAATGAAGGGAAGGGGGGAGCATCGTGCCTCCTTTTCAAATTTGATGATGCTCAAATGCTCAAAT